CTGCAAGCAATCAAATATATATATATATATGCCTGCAGTCTTGCTGATATACTCTGTTATATATAAGTAATGAAGTTGCTTACCAAACCATGGTCACAAAAGGAAACAAAAAGGGTTGAAACTCCAGCAACATCTTTGGTATTTAGAACAACTTTATTGTAACATCAATGTTTTGGCTTGTGGCCCTTATCAGGAATGTCACAAACCAAGCTGTGCCAGAAGCCCTCACATTGCTTCCACAGAGGAGAAAGGGGAAAGTTCTTTGGGATAAAGTTTTGATTTATTTCTCTTTTCTTTTACCTCAGTGGCAGGTGATGTTGTTTGAGAAACCCTAACCTTGCTTCCACAGTGGAGAAACAAAAAGTTCTTTGAAGTAACAGTAAATCAGCTGTCTTTATATTTCAGAATCAGAAAAGGATTTATTGTTAAGTATGTTTTCACTCACAAGGAATTTGCTTTGGTTTTTGGTGCATGCATTAATAAGAATCAGAATCAGAATCAGCTTTATTCGCCAATGTACCAGAAATGACATAGGTACACAAATTTAGGCAAAAACATACAGAATATACAATATACCATAAATATACAGCTATACATTAAATATAAAAAAATATTTTAAAAAATATTATTATTATTTATTTATTTTTTTTAAATATATACAATATTCAAGGATGGAGTCTTGTTTGACCTGACACCTTGTGACTATTTAGGAGTTCATCAGAGCGACAGCCTGGGGGAAGAAATTGTCTTTGTGACAGGTGGTTTTAGCGAACAGTGCTCTGTAGCGCCTACCAGAGGGGAGGAGTTCCGGGTGTGAGGGGTATACAGTGATGTTTCCTGCCTGTTTCCTGACCCTTGACCAGTACAGGTCCTCGATGGAGGGAAGATCAGTCCCAATAATCCTCTCTGCACACCTGATTGTCCTTTTCAGTCTGTTCCTGTCCAGTTTGGTGGCAGATCCAAACCAGACGGTGATGGATGTGCAGAGAACAGACTGGATTATGGCTGTGTAGAACAAGATCAGCGGTTCCTGAGGCAGGTTGAGCTTCCTGAGCTGTCGCAGGAAGTAAAGCCTCTGCTGGGCCTTTTTCCGGACAGTGTCTATGTGGGAGGTCCACTTCAAGTCCCGAGAGATTGTGGTATCAAGAAACCTGAAGGTGTCCACAGTAGACACTGTGCTGTTGAGGATGGTGAGGCGGGGCAGTGTTGGGGGGCTTCTTCTGAAGTCCACTGTCATCTCCACAGTCTTGAGTGGGTTCAGCTCCAGGTGGTTCTGACTGCACCAGAGGACCAGCTGCGCCATCTCCTGTCTGTATGCAGGCTCATCACAGTCCCGGATTAGACCGATGAACATACAGTAAACATATTAAGAGGTATAAAAATAAGGCAAAGTACTTCAACACTGAAAAACACACAGCAAGCGGGATCCTGGTTTAAATCCAGGGTGGGGAGTCCAAACCCCACGGAAGGGGAGCCCCCCCGTGTGGAGTCTGCATGCTCTCCCTGTGTCAGCGTGGGCTCTCTCCAGGTACTAGTTTCCCCCCACAGTCCAAATGTGGAGCCCAGGAAGCTAAAGGACTCCACAGCGTTGACTGGGGAGTCACACAAGGCAATTGGCTGACAGGCTGCATCAACGAGGGCCACAAGCTGAAACATGTACTTATTCTGAAGTTGTGCCAGAGAGCCTTGCTGTGCTTCCACAGAGGAGAAAACGAAAGGTCTTTGGAATAGCCTGGCTGTTGCAGACCTGCTGGTCCTCATCACCCTGCCTCTGTGGATCTACTCCCTGGCCCACTACTGGGTGTTTGGGGAAGCCTCCTGCAAAGCCATGGTGCTCATGATCAACGCCTGTATGTACAGCAGCGTTTTCCTCATTACCTTCATGAGTGTGGAGCGCTTTGTGGCCGTGCGATATCCTTTTGCCTCAGGTGGCTGGAAGAGGAAAAAAGCACTGAATAAAGTTTTGCTGGCTCTGTGGACTGCAGCGTTCTTGTTCAGCATACCTGTCATCCCAACTCAGGTCGTAGACAGTAGTAGTTCCTTTTATCATTTTTAGTACCTAATACTGTCTAGTAGCTGCCCAGCTCAGGTAAATGAGTTTCAACTTCAAACAGAAATCTATAGTTCTTGTGCACGCTATGGTGATAGCCTTCTCAGTGTGCCGGCTGCCTTACTATATCAGCAACATTATTGATGTGGGCAGGCACAGAATATGAATGTGTGCCACAGAGTGTTGTCTTTAGCTCTAGTGCACTTGTTTTCATCAGCAGTTCAGTGAATCCTGTGTTATATGCCCTCTTCAAGAGGATCTTACAAGGGAGTCTGGAGAAGTCCTGACTGGTCAGGCTGTTCCAGGAAATGGCCACTCACACCAACAAACTGAAGGGGCTGGTAGTACAACCGCAGACTGGCCAGAGGGCAGCAAATACACAGGTAGTGCTGATATCTGGCTCTGATGAAAAGCTGACTCCCCGGAACTGTGATGATAGAAAGTGTCCCGTTTGTTTGAGTATTGTGATTCATATCATTAACACAAACCCTCCTATCTTTGTTTCACATTTACCCTCAGGTGTCAGTGAAAGCTAACATATGAGGACAATCTTTATGTGTTTCTCAATTTTGATTATATTTATTGCTGCATAATAAAAGATAGAATAAAAAACTTTGAAATTAAATAGGTTCCTGTATTGTGTAATGTGTTTTGTGTCATACGGTTTCTGACTTGAAAAATGAAATGAATTACCTCTGGGTCAGTGCTCTTGGAAGCTGCTACAACGATTTAATTTTCTGATTATTAAAACTCGATTAGTTTATCATTGTCTTTTATTTAACACAGAACAACTTATTGCCTCTTTGGGGAAAGTATGACCTGGTAATGACAGTAAAGCTTAAAAAAGGCCAAAATATCACTGTAGTATATGGTTAATTAAAAATTATTAAAAATTCCCTCTAAACAATACTGTAATATTACATACTTAATGTGGAGCAGTTATTCTCCTTTACCAGCGAGTAAGTGGGCAAATGATTGCAAACCAATTTTACTTAAATTTATTTTCTTTTTTATTCAGTTCAGTTCAATTGAATTCAGTTCAGTCCAGTTCAATTAAGTTCAGTTTAGTTCAATATTCAATTCAATTCATTTCAGTTGAATTCAGTTCAGTTCAATTGAATTCAGTTCAATCCAATTAAATTAAGTTCATTTCAGTTAGTCAGTTCAATTTGATATTCAATTCAGTTCAATTGAGTTCAGTTCAGTTCATTTTGTTATTTAGTTCAATTGAGTTCAGTTCAGTTCATTTTGATATTCAGTTCAATTCAGTTCAGTTCAGTTCAGTTCAATTCGATATTCAATTCAGTTCAATTCAATTCAGTTCACTTCAATTCAATTCCGTTCCGTTCAGTTCAGTTCAATTCGATATTCAATTCAGTTCAATTCAATTCAGTTCACTTCAATTCAATTCCATTCAGTTCAGTTCAATTCGATATTCAATTCAGTTCAATTCAATTCAATTCAGTTCAATTCAATTCAGTTCAGTTCAATTCGATATTCAATTCAGTTCAGTTCATTTCAATTCAATATTCAATTCAGTTCAATTCAATTCAGTTCAATTCAATTCAGTTCAGTTCAGTTCAGTTCAGTTCAATTCGATATTCAGTTCAGTTCATTTCATTTCAATTCAATATTCAGTTCAGTTCAATTGAATTCAGTTCAGTTCAGTTCAATTCGATATTCAATTCAGTTCAGTTCATTTCAATTCAATATTCAATTCAGTTCAATTCAATTCAGTTCAGTTCAGTTCAGTTCAGTTCAGTTCAATTCGATATTCAGTTCAGTTCAGTTCAGTTCATTTCAATTCAATATTCAATTCACTTCAATTGAATTCAGTTCAGTTCAGTTCAGTTCAATTCGATATTCAGTTCAGTTCAGTTCATTTCAATTCAATATTCAATTCAGTTCAATTCAATTCAATTCAATTCAGTTCAGTTCAGTTCAATTCGATATTCAATTCAGTTCAGTTCAATTCAGTTCAATTCAACTCAGTTCAGTTCAATTCAATATTCAGTTCAGTTCAATTCAATTCAATTCAGTTCAGTTCAATTCGATATTCAATTCAGTTCAGTTTATTTCAATTCTCTATTAAATTCAGTTCAATTCAATTCAGTTCAGTTCAGTTCGATATTCAATTCAGTTCAATTCAATTTGATATTCAGTGCAGTTCACTTCAGTTCAATTCAGTTCAGTTCAACTGCTTGCAGTTCAGTTCAGCATTGGATTGTATATTGTATGAGATTTTCCCTGATGTCTCCCCCCTCTGAGGCAAACAGGACATTAACACACTCTCTAAGAACATGTTGGAGATCATTTATTTAATGGAAGAGTATATTTGAATGTTTCTCTAATGCCTTTGAGAAGAACTGGGAACCTAACCCACTAGTTGCTGCCCCAGGTGCCACGAGTGTGTTACCTTTGGCAGACAAGCATATATTATGTGGAATAGAGAGCTGATGAATGTATTGTAAGGTTTGCAAAACAGATTAAAATATGTGTCATAATTTGGAGCCCTGTACTAGAGTATCTCAAGGATAGTGAATTATAAAGGTCTAACCTAGTAGCGGTATACCCTCTATCACTGCGTATATGTATTTCGTTTTACTAGTAATGCTGAAGTCCTAGGAGTTGTTTTTTGTGTTTCTACCTGTAAAGATATTTATGGCTGAGCTGTTGCAATTATGTACTGACCATTTGTTCATTGAAAATCCTAAAATAAAGGGGGAGTTATGGAGTTTTTCCCGCATTTCCTTTTCTTTATTTGAAACTCTTATAATATATATTATACGTGACCTGAGGTGAAAAAATGGACCAATGACACATGCATGAATCACCTCTCTGCATCTCAAATAGCCCTGTGAGGAAACCCCTTTCCTGTGCTGTCTATGTGTAAAGGGAAGTATAGACTTGCTTGTACAGCACTTTGTTTTTCTTTTCATGCAGACGCCACTGTCAGCACATACACTTGCAGCATGAACCACTCAGCTGTGTTGTCGCCTTCAGAGGAAATGGCCCCTGAGGAGTTTGACGGCGGGACAGTGGTGGCTTGTGTGATCCTGGGCCTGTCATTCTTAGTAGGAGCTCCTGGGAACCTGCTGGTGATCTGGACTATCCTGAGACACGTCAAGCAGTGTTCTCACACTGTGGTGCTCATCCTGCACCTGGCTGTTGCAGACCTGCTGGTCCTCATCACCCTGCCTCTGTGGATCTACTCCCTGGCCCACTACTGGGTGTTTGGGGAAGTCTCCTGCAAAGCCATGGTGTTCATGATCAACGCCTGTATGTACAGCAGCGTTTTCCTCATTACCCTCATGAGTGTGGAGCGCTTTGTGGCTGTGCGATATCCTTTTGCCTCAGCTGGCTGGAAGAGGAAAAAAGCACTGAATAAAGTTTTGCTGGCTCTGTGGACTGCAGCGTTCTTGTTCAGCATACCTGTCATCCCAACTCAGGTCGTAGGGACAGATTCTGGTGAGGAGCATTGTCTGTATCGGCAGTACTCTTCTTTGACCCAGGAGCTGGTGTGTGTGCTGCTCGAGACACTGGTGGGCTACATAATACCCTTCTCCATCCTCGTGGTCTGCTATGGCTGTCTGTGTAGCCGGATTACTCAGATGACCTTTAAGTCCAAGCGCAAGTCCACAGTCCTGATTGCCAGTGTAGTGGTTGTGTTTGCCATCTGTTGGACACCTCATCACATAGGAAATATCCTCTCACTCATCATCCTGGCCACTGAGGACTCCCTCCCTGTTGTAGCAGACAATCTGGAGAGCGCCAGGAGCACCATGACCTTCATCGCTGGGGCCATGGTGTTCATCAGCAGCACTGTTAACCCCATCCTTTACATGTATGCGGCCCGCTCCTTCAGGAGCTCCCTGCGTGACACCGGCATCCAGAAGCTCTTCCACCATATCTCCAGCACCTCCCCAGGTGAGGGCACTAAAGAGTTGTCCTTTGTGACCAAGAGACAGAGCAATCAGACCAACAGCTCTCAGTGTCTGACTGAGCCAAAAGACCAAATGGACATCTTGATAAAAATGTGTGAAAATAATCCATCCTGATATTGAAAATGTATGGAGTGTCAGTGCTGTGTAGATATGCATGTGTATACTGTATACAATATTTCTTTGTGACATAAATTTAGCCTGAAATGAAGCTCATTTCGTACGAAATTACAACACAGATAAACAGGAAGTCTGAGTTTACTTGTGCAACTCTGTAAATTACCTTTTTAACATGTCTCTTTTTTTAAATAGTGAACATATATTTATGAATATGTTATATATTATGTACTTTATTCCATATAGTGTTCATAAATAGTACAATAAATAATTCTATGAAACATGTCTCAATGTAAAGTCTTTGTTTACAAACCGTTTAATTATTTTATTAAAGCCAACAAAGGGAGATGATATTGATCATGTTATTAATCAGATCAGATCAATCAGATTTTTTTTTTTTTTAATTGCCTGTAAGCGTGGGAACATGATTAGACAGAGCTCAGTGGGTTTTCATCTGGTCATCCTGTGGTTGCGTTTGCCACAAAGAAGTATCTCACTTTGTCTGTAAGAACGTGTCTATCTTGCTGTAGCTCTCTGTGTTGGGAAACTGTAACATCTCTACAGTCTGATTATGAACTCATGTTACAAAACTGTTGCTGTGTTTTCTTAATAGAACCCATAGTGTATGACTATTGTAAAAAAAATGTTTGTTTATTTTTTTTTTTTTACTCATGACAAACTAGCTAACAATTGTCCTGGTATCCCACTACAGACAACAGTCATGCGTCCAACTTCCTCTCAATGAAAAGATTGCAAAATGAAAAACTGCATGTTCCGTTTGTTGGGCAGCAAAAAGCGGAATCGTGTCTTAATGTTTGTCACAGTTTTATAAAACTAAGACTCGTACTTCTGAGCGTGAGAGTTCAGCGTCAGCTTATTTTATGATATTTTTAAATGAGTATGTCCATCAGATATTTATAATACACATGGTATATTAGGATTGTATGTTACCATGACTACAAAGAAATTGGTCTAACCAGCTGGCACAACCAGCAGATGGCAGTGTGTTTTTAACAGTTTTTTGACATTATTTCAGTGTAGCACCATAATAATGATAATAATTTTATTTACCTACTCCATTGTATGTCTATTTTTTTTCTATAAAGGGAATGATCATGATGAGAGTCTTTCCTTCAGTGCTGCTTTGATCCATACACTTTACACACATTTATAGCCTTTGTGTTGACACAGTGGAAAGTGGAAGGAGCCATTTTCATTAAACTTTCAATGAAAGATGAAAAAAATAGTGCTGAAATTTTAGAATTTCACTCTGCGTCTGACTCTTTCACTATAGTTCCACTTTTACTAGACTCAAAACTATCTGAGATTCCATACCAATGAATTTCCCACGGGGTGTCATTTGTATGTTGTGTCAAACACCATGAGATGAAGTTGAATAAACACACTGTGCCAGTGCTCATCACCTTGGAGACTTTAAACATTAGTGAATCAGGATTATTTTAACCATGACAGTGGAAAATTACAGAGGGCAAAGGGTGTGACACAAACATACGAGTCAGACGAGATCACACAAGAAAGCATAGCTGACTGTGAGACACTCTAGACCTTTTCTCACAGAATGAGGAAGCAGCGTGTATGAGACAACATCAGCAGTGTGGTATGTGCTTAATGTAGCCACTGCCTTGCATTATGAGTATATTCCTGCATTATGTACTGTACTTTTTAAGTGAGTATACACTTAATAAAATATTGTTGCATAGTGAAAAATGTCAGCACACATACATCCTTCATATTTGACATTCTGTAAACTGACCACTTTTTACCTTTAAAATCTGCCTCATGTGAGCAAATACATTTTTTTTTTGTATTCAAATTACTTTAATCACTTTTATTGTAACCCACTCTCCCCCCAGCTAGCAGTACACCACAGGACAGGACCTGCCAAAGGGGTAACTGAGCCATGAATCTTGGCTATCCCCAAAGTTCACTGATACCACAGCTGACACCAAAGCAAAGTGTTTTTCTGGGTACGGTGGTGGCTCGTATATTCCCTTTTCAGCTGTACAACTTTTTTTTCACCAGTTACACCTGCACGTCATTTGGGAGCCACAGACAGACAACCTGTACGCCGTCTGATGTCATGAAGATAAATGCTCTTTGCTGTTGTCTAGGATTTCAGCTCTAGTGTTTTCCAGTGTATCCCTGAACTTATCAGACTGGTTCAGCTGGTGAGAATGATTCCACATGAGGAAGGAGACACTGAGCATTACTCTTGAGATGGGGGGATTTAAATGAGTGAAAGGAGGTGACGAGACAAAAAGCCTTGCATTCACTAGTGTGCTGGCCCATAGCAAGCAGAGATGGGAGTGTCAGGAGCAACAAGACATAACATTCTGGGAACCAGGCCAGAGACTGGTGAAAACTCAACAGGCCAGCCAAGACCCGTGAAGTTATTAAAAACTCTCCATTGTATATTTTTGCTCTTGTAAGTGCCAGATTCAATTTCAATGTGAGAGCTGCTCATAGATGAAAACATAGCCACACAAGAGTGTAAGACTTCATACATGTTACCAGAAAATAATGTACAGTGACAGTTAGTTATATCCCATGTAACAGTGTGAATGTGGAGAAGCACAGCAGCATGGATTTTGACAGGATGAATAAGAATCACAGGTTGAGAAACAACAAAAAAATGCTACTTTCCATTATCTACAGGCTGATTCATACTGTTGCCTCTGTCTCTCTATCTGCATGTGTCTGCCTGTGTGTTTGTTTCTCGTTCTTTTCTTCCTTTCCTTCTGTCCTTCCTGCATTCACTTCTACCTTCACCTAAAACTACCTTGTTACCTCGAATTACCTTGAAGCTACCTTGAACAAACTAAGTAAATGTAAATTAAGGTAAATTTTCCCAATGATGGCACCACAGGCCCACGTACCCAAAGTGTCAGACACACCCCTGGCCTTCATCTGGAAAATGTCATTCAAATTACTGACCAACAAGAGACTCAAAATTAGCACAAAGAGGTGCAAAGAAACTGCAAAGAGCCACAAAGTAACTACAAAAATGGGCAAACCACAAAAAAGAGATACAACATGACTACAAAGAGACACACAACTACCTCAGAGAAACACAAAGCCACAAAGAGATACAAAACAACAACAAAGATGAGGCAGAACCACCACAAAGTCTGTGTGTCTTGCTCCTACATAGGAAAGGTAATGGGGCCTTTTGCATATCTGTGCCCAGGGGGCCTACTGACTCATAATCCACCTATGCTGATATGTTGCAGGTGTACATTGCTGCATCTGCATAGCATCAGTGAAAACTTAAGGAAACAGATTGTTTCCAACTCATCCTAGTCACAGAACACCTTAGAACAGTGGTTCTCATATATGGTGTGCTGTGATGCCATTCCAGGTGTGCCATGGGATTTTGTGATAACCACACATTATTATAGCAATATCCAACTGATTTTTTAATTGATTGTATCAGTATGTTGAACGCACCCATTTCACAATAAACAGGCAAACTCTAGCTAAAAAATGTTATTTAATTGAATTTGATTTAAAAAAAAAAAAAACCTTACAGGGAACCTATTTGTTGCGGTTTGTGTGTGGGAATTGTACTTGTGTGACACATCAGAAGCCCTGATTGGCAGCCAGTGTAAAAGATGATAACATTTCAAAGGAGAAAGCTGTGAGTGGGACAGTGGATTGCATTACTGTTCAGAGCAAATTACAACAAAGCACCAGCATGGACGACCTACTGCTGAAAGAAAAGAGAAAAACCAAAACTGTCAGTAGACAGCAACACAAAAGCCACCTGTCTTCTTTTTATTTCTATTCACTGTCTTATGTCGTGATGAGAGTGATAACACATGTCATAGAAGCTATTGTGGACAGATGGAAATATAGGTGTGCCTTGAGATTTTGGCATACCCTTTGTTGTGCCTTGGACACAAACAGTTTGAAAACCACAAAAACCACTGCATGAAAGTACAAGTTTGCCTGTTGCAGAGCATTGCATTGAAAAGCCTTTTTACGCACGCCTGTCCATCCTGTGCGAGGGATCCCTCTTCAGCTGCTCTACCTGAGGTTTCTACCACTTTTTTTACCTGTTAAAGGCATTTTTGGGGGAGTTTTTCCTTATCTGCTGTGAGGGTCAAAGGACAGGGGGATGTCAAAGCCCTCTGAGACAAATTGTGATTTGTGGTATCGGGCTTTATAAACAAAATTTAATTTAAACTAATTGAAAATGATTTATAAAATCAATCAGTTTAGTTGCAGTACAACACAGCTCCTGACTTCCACATGTACAAAACTAATTTTAATGGAGAATAATAGTGTTTAAAACCCTTTAAACACTCTCAGAACATTCACAAGTTGTTCAGTGTCTGCAGGTGTACCTTTGAGGGTGCTGTGCCTGTAGCAACACTCTCCACAATCTATGTGAAACATAAGTAGGCTACATGCCATGAGGTATTACAGCCCTGTTTGCCAGGCTACTTCCTGGTTCACCAGATCTGACCAATGATATTACAGCTCCAGCCGCAGAGTCCCGCCCTCACCTTTCCAAACCAGCCAATAGGCGACGCCCCTGGAGCTCTCCTCGCGCAGAGGCCGAGCCACACAGGTAACTCAGGAAAAAAAAATAGAAAGGAGAGGAGGAGAAAAGACTCAAGGGCTTGTTATGGAGTTCGTGTGAAAGAAACACGGATTTCCACCCGTCTTTACCAGTTAAACCAGTATCTCTGGATAGAGCACACACAAGTACTTCAACAGGTAGAGTCTCTGACCGCAAAACTCTTTCGTGGCTCCTCTGAAAATAATCTCCCCCTTTTTTCTCTCTCCGTTTACCTCAATTGAGTTTCCAGCCCTTTTGTTCGCTCTTCTTATCACTTGGAAAAAGGTGAACCCTCGTGTTATTTTTATTTTAATCTTTGCTTTAATTGTAGTTTTTACCCTTGTGGTCCCTGATGGCTTCGCACAGTGATACTCTGGTGGTGTTCTTTGGGGCAACAGCTGGTGCAAATGGGGGTAAACTGGGTTCGGATGAGAGGGAAATAATTCTCTTGGTGTGGCAAATTGTGGATCTACATGAGAAAAAGGTACGGACCTTTCTGACCCGTTCGTTCGTTGTACGGTTTCTTATGTACCCAGAGTGTTTGTGGCATAGTGTCTACCTGTAGTACAACAGTATGTTTGACATTTAAATCAACATGGTGTGCTCTCTGAAGCCGTCCGTAGCCTGCTTCACTCATGCTAACGCTAACCTTACATCAATTCACCATCCAGCCGCCTCACCTTTACAGGTGTGCGACCGAAATTTAACGAGCAGGTGGGGACATGGAGAAAGCACACTGTTTTGGTTTGGCATGTCAGCTTTTTCTTGATGTAAACAACGCTTTATTGACAATAAGTGCTTTTTGCAACTACATTGTCAATTGTTTGTTTGTTGCTGAATGTGGGGGTTTTAGTCTGTAAATTGGCTTACATTAGTTTTTTCCACGCTGTATCCTGCGCCATGAACCCCTGAAAATCCCTCCACAGGTCGGGAAGCTTCATAGATGTCTTGTCAAGCCAGACACTTTAGAGCTGACAGACCAGTGTAAAGAGGAGACAGGTGTGACTTTGGACGACATCATCAAAGCTGAGCCCCTGGACAAAGTTCTGCAACAGGTGAGTCTCACTGGTCACTTTAAGGTACCTTTCTACATAAGGAATACTCCAATCCTTCCCATGTAAAATAGGCCTCAAAAGTCCTCGTCCTGAATTTCCTAAACCCCCAGCTACATCTCATAAAACCTCTTTGCCTTCACGAACATTATGAGAAATTCAGAAGCCAATTAAACCGAGACAACCTTCCTCTGACAGTTAATGCCCGCAGCGAGATGAGACGTGACAAGCCTGACTAGAGCTGTAAGTGAATTTGAGGAGTGTCAGATTTCCCCTGATGACCTTTTAGAAAAATGGTCTTCCACCTGGCTGAGATGTGTCATTGGTTTGGCCCCTGACAGTTAAACTCTGCTGACAGTTTGCAGGAGCTCCGGGGTTAGGATGGGCAGAGCCCTGGAGGCATCTGGAGATAAGGAGGAGTCGCAGGTCTAGTCTTGTCTCGGCCTGATGCGAGCTGCAGACATCTGGAAGGCGGAATGTTTACCTGGGACCGCACCTCTGTTTTAGGCTGTAGGACAGACAGGAGGGGAAGCTTTGAGATCTTTGGCGTCATCCTCTGCGCGGCATTTTTTTATGGCCCAAGATGTGAATTTGCTTTCTGGTTCCTCCCTGTTAAATGGTGTGTTTTGACAAAAGCGCTTGTGTTGCCAAACATTTTGTTTAATCACCTGTGCAAGAGTTTTTGCTTGCACCCGCAGCACCTTTCCCACCTCTCCAGTGTGTCACAGTTGAAAAACCACTTATTATCATGCTGGATCAGCGGGTTTGAGTTGATATTAGTGCTGCTGTGGTCTCAATACCGTGTATGCACAAGCAGGATGGTTTGGATAGTCAAATGGAAATGGGGTTGCTTTCTTTTAATGCTTTTTAGGGCTTCATAGCCACGATGCTGCTTAGGTTAATACACTCAAACGCATAGCCTAAAACAGTTAAAATCTCATAGGAGTTTGGTCCAAATGCTGAGGTCATCTGTGCCTCATGCAGACTTGGTAAGACCTCAGCTCCACTGTAGGTTAGTTTGTGTGCTGAACCTTCAAATATTAACCCAAGTAATCAGTTCGTTCTTTTCATACCTTTGTCTCACAGGTTACTTTCTCTCGCTATTGGTCATTCTGAGATTAGTTTTATCCTTGCTGATACAGGAGAAGTAAAGGAAATGGACATTTTTTGAGACAGTTTGAAGCACATGTTGTCTTTAGATGAGGTAGCCCAGTCCAACTCAGTCATTAATAGAGGGAAACAAGCAGTGACCTCTTACTGGTGGGTTTGTTGTGTTGACCTGTGTGGTCAGAGCCCCCAAGGACATCAGTTTCTCTCCTGTCGGTGAAAGATTTATTAAACGTGAGAAGGCTGGAGAGATTAGTAGGGCTGCTTAACACTTAGCTTCCAGTTTATTAATTTTGTGTGCAGTTGGATCTGTGAATGCTTTTGTCAGTTGTCCCACTAACATGTTTTAGATAATGCTTTTCCCTCACACAAACTGAAATACTGTAAGTTGAAGGATAGTCATGAGTATATGTTAAGATTCAACCCCCTTCTTTTACGCCACCGCGTGCAGCAGCTCAGGTTAATGTGCTGTAAACATCATGCATTATATAGTCTGCAGTGATGTCTTACACTTTTAATGTAATGAATTTAATTATCAATAATTTTCATTCTTAGTTCCTTAGTTTCAGTGCAGAGTCACTACACGGCAGCAAACCAAATCCAACAGCAACACTGATACTCCATTTTTGTTCAGAAAATTGGCAATTGGAATTATTTTTAAGCCCTTTGTTTGATGTAGGTTTTACTACCGAGATCAGCGAGCTCAGCAGTCGAGAGTTCTGCCACCACTGTGTAGAAAAATGTTGAATTTCCTGAAACTAGTTTTTTACGCGAATAGACCCAATAAGAAATTTTAAAAATTATATTTAAAAAAAATGTGTGTGAATGATAACATGTATACAGATTCTGTCAAGATAAATTAATGTGTAAGATGATGGCTGTAGATGACATGCTAGGACTCGAGCATGTGCGCTTATGACTGTAGCCATGTCGTGTGAGTGTATGTGGGAGTGTGCGCGTTACACACCTGCAGTTCAGTTCCTGGGCTGATGGATGGTTTAGCTGCTGACTGTACAGGCCTGGCTTTAGTCTGGTGCACTGACAGCATGTCACAGCCTGTAGGGAGCTGCACATGATGTGAGACCTCACACACATTGTTGTTGTTGTTGTTGTTGTTCTTGTTGTTGTTGTTGTGGTGGTGGTGGTGACACCATCTTTCAACTGTTTTAGACCACAGCCAGAAATACTGTCAGCTCCGGCATTGATTTTAGTTAGTGATTTGGTGCTTTCTTACACAATCTGCATTATTGTGACATAGAAAACATGATGAATCACATCCAAGAGTGATTCACACAACCTGGACTATAACAGTACGGCAAAAGGCAGCTCAACGATGACACACAAAGATCACTCTGGTTTGTATGAACCCAAATCTACGATGACGAAGTTATTGCTGTGTGTGTCTGAAGACTCATAAGACCAAAATGTCAAGAATTTTGATGTTTTGTGCCTGTTTCTGCATGACTGCGCTGGCATTCATGCAAGAGGGCAAGTTATTGAGACAAATCTGGCCAAGACAGGGGATTGTAGGAGGTGGAGAATAAACTGCAGTAACCTGATTACATCAAAATTATGTTTGCACTCATGTCTAACATAAGGTAAACGTAGATATTTTTCAACCTGGACCCCATTTTCCCATGTTTTTGTATCTAAGTGAAAAACGGGAATAACAATTTTTGAATTAGTCTAGTATTGAGTGAGAGCGCTGCATCAGACAACCCGCGAAACAGGCTGCAATGTAATTTACGTGGCAATAACATGTCGTCAACGCATGTCCACTAAAAGTGCTTTTTTTTCCACTGACAGACTCAGTTTCTGACAAAGAAATGTTTTTCTTTACATTTGTGGCCTGTTTGGCGAGTTTAGTTGTTACAGGAAGACAATAACAGACTTCAAAATGAAACTTCTCCTCAAGTGAGACTCGGCTAGACATAACAAACAGACCAGTACAAGTGAAAGATAAAGAAAAATATTTTGTTTCTTTGCAAACACTAACAATAACATTCTGAGCCTGTCAGTGGCAAAAACAAGCGCTTGTAATGGACGTACACTGACGGTGTGCTTCTGCCTCTACAGGTAACATTATGGCCCACTGTGCGTCTGCTGCACTCTCACTCAATACTGGTGCACTTTAAAAAGTTTTTGTTCTCATTAGTCATTTACACACAAAACATGAAAAAATGGGGTTGATAAATACCAAAATTTCCCTTTATTTTGTGAATGTATTAAAGATAAATGTTATGTAAGAAAACCTAGTAGTATACTTTGTATGACACAGCAGGTTGAAGAGATGTTTTCTGAGACAAGAACAGTTTTCCACACTTTAAACATTTTTGTGGATTTTACACACACTGGAAACTGGTTTTCTTCTGGGTTTTAGACACTGATTTTAGTTTGGATTTTTTAATAGTCATTTCTTTGATCATAGAATGCTGTGGGTGCTTTTCCTGTGCTCGGTCTTGTGATGCAAATGCTCACAATGTAAAAACCATGTAGAAGTGAGTTAAGATTACACATGACCTGTGAAGTAGATTTGTTATTTACATGATCACGTGTGATCTGTGTTGATTTTTTTTCTCCCCAGTGGATCATTCTGAATATAAGCAAAGTAGAACTCCTAGTGTGCTGATGTACTGTGACTGTAGTGACAGCGTGTGTTTGACTTTAGGTGCTGTAAACGGTTACCACAGGGACTGCCCTGACACTCCCTACTGCTCTTATCGGAATTTGTTTCAGCCACCACCACCCCACCTCACCTCTGCATACAAACAGTCCGGCTTCAGTAGAGAGCAAACTCTGATAGGACCATGTTCAAAGGCCACTTCCTCCCCCTCATCTGTGGAAATGCTTTGCAGAGGGTAGACAGAGACTGAAAGTTGGTTTAGGAGAAATGTGGATCCATAATTTGTGTGGGTCCCAAAATAGTTTTTGAGAAACAGATGGTGATTTTAAATTGAAATAAGATAAATGACCTTTCTTCCTTCCTACAGTAAGGTGGCATTATTATATCAAAATGCCACTAAGGCATGATAACAATGATTGTATCATTGGAATAAAAACCCTGTTTGTTCATTTGTTTATTTTTAGTAGCTGGATGCTTATTGGACAACATCACAGAAAAGTAGAATGTAGAACATCAGTAATAAGTGGCTGTGTTGTATTTCACACATAGCACATTACAGGCCTTTCACATAATCAATGAAATGCAGCTAATTTAAGGTGTAAACAGTCAGGTCTGCTCATGAGTTTGGTACAGTAGCCTTTTATCTTTACTGATCTGTTGTCACTGTGAGATTTGTCTTCTGTTCAGCTTGTTTGCTCAGTTTAAACTGTGGTTTTTGACACAGTGGAGAAAGAGAGTGGGTGTGCCGCTACGCCATTTAAAACATTTGCTTTTCTCTCAGTAATCCGGCTTTAGTAATTGGCCAAGGTGGAGCTGCATGCGCAGTTATGAGCAAACATATGTCCTGTTATCACTGTCAACATGAAATTGTGCAGTATGGCTGTGCTTAAAATGCACGGCTGGATTAATCCATACAACTTTGGAGTATCAAAGTTTTGGATTTTTGTGTTTATATACACAATAATAATGACAGCATCAGGTATTGAGTTGGATTAAAGGAGATACCTGTTTTTATTGGTATTTTTAGCTTTCAGACACACGCAACAAAAACAAAGTAAAGGCTGTACAGGTGACAGAATATGCAAAGTCAGAGAATGAGGGAATTTAATTTCCGCGTGTGCCTTTTTAACTTTTTGTTTGCTGCTTACCTTGACAGTAACAACTCCCATCAGTGGCTATCAGTGTAGAGGCTTTAATTCGGAGTGTGCTGTTGAGGTTTGTTGATACTGTGGTCAGCACAGTTAGTTCATTAGCAGTGCAATATGCTAATTGAATTAGATGTGGCTCAGAAATTTTATATTGTGAGTGTCATAATTAAAGCACCTTAAATAGATCTGTCCTCTGTGCACATTGTTTTACAAATAGTTTCTGGGTTCCACCTTTTAGTTACGCAGAATATTGTCACTTGTGCATTGGGTGTGTCCTGTTACGAAACTGTACCTGCTGACCTGTTGTTCTCACATTAAGTTTATCGTACCCGCCCTTAATCAGGATCTCATTTAGGTGTGGGATTAAAATGACAGCCAGCACAGCACATCTGTCATCTAGTTATCCTGTTGTGTATCTGTGGCACCCATGTCAGTTAATAACCCCTTATCAGATCCTGGTCACCATGACAACATTCAGTTATTCAGTAGTTCTCAGACGATATAAAAAGCATCTATATTGTCTTAATGTGTTTTTCTTGTCATAAATGTGTGCTATTGTTGCTGTTATTTTTGCCACAAATGACTTGTACTAAATTTCAGACAACATAGTGAATCAGTGTAATTCTGTTTGGCTGCCAACTCTCACTTTAGCGCTTACCACCTTTAATACGTGAACCTTATGCATCTAATGTGATACACTCACTTGCTTAATGTAAACCAACTGTCTGGAAGAACTTTGTGGTGGAAATGTTGTTGTTTTCCTTCTCAGTAGAGCCATGACAACATTTTTAGACATTTTACAGGGTCCTGAGTTTGCATATTGCTCGAGTATTTTGAACATTTGAAGTATTTCACATGACCTTGACCCGGAAAAAAGCAGAAACATTTACAGGGTGAGGTGAAATAGGCCAAAGGGCTTAGTCGAAAGAATGGTAATGGCTGTCCATGTCTCTTTTTTTTTTTCGTTTTCACTGGGGATTGCAAAACAGAGAGAACTTACAGAATTAATATATGTGAAATATAAGCCTAAAGTGACCAGCAATCCTGTATAGATCAGCCAGTGTTCTCGGGCCCACTGCAAATACCCAGTTCTTTTTTCTCAGATTGATGATTCTCTCAGGTTTCTGTCCTTCCACCCCAAAACCCCCTTAATCTAACCCAGAGGCATTTGTTCACTTGTCAGCAGCTGGCTGGCGTTGCCAAATAGCCCTGCATTTCTCTTTGACTGTTAAGAAGCATGCCTCGACACGCACATCTAATACTCTCCCACTGTCTGAGGATCTGTCATATATCGCCAGTGGCCATGTGAGGCGAGCCAGTCGTTGGGTTTTGGGTGGTCTGTTCACCCAGACAATCTAATTTTGCGCTTACAGAGGTGACTTTGAGGGTTCAGGAGAGAAGAAGGGAAAAAAACCAACATAACAATTTTCTGAGGTGGCCAATGACACGAGCAAAAGCTGATCTCCATCTTGCATGGGAGAATTGAGCAGCAAGTAAATACAAGAGGTATTTAAGTCAGTGTGACTTCAGAAAGGTTTTGTGATGTCAATATTATGCAAAGTGATTCAGGTTATCGTCATTAACAATGAATCAGCTCACTCCCAGTTATGTGTGAAAGTGTTACTAGAACTGCAGAGCTCACTGAGACTCACCAGTTTTCACTTGTTTTGTCCTGCCTGAATTGTTGACTCTGAGTGGTTCTTAACCAAACTGCAGCACTACACGATGAAGAGGTGTAAGCAGCCTCTCCCTGCAGTCCCGGATAATCAGACTTTATGGTATACATCCAGCACAAAGCAACCTCAGATATTTTTTTAATAATATGGTCAATATGGTCATATGCAAAAATGTGAACAAATATTACACTTGCGTCTACCAGAGGACAAAAGTTTATAAGCTCTTATATCTTTATAAGCTTATAGAATTTGAAGGCTCTGTAGCTGTGAGTTTGTTGTTTGTGAGTCTTTGTAGCACTTAGTGGTCAAATTTTACATAACAAAGCTACAAAAAATAATTTCAGCATGGCTGCTCTTGAAGAGGAGTCCTCTAAAATCATGAAAATACTATAAAACATTATCAGAAATACAGTCCTCTGACCTCAGATATCATTTGCCTAAGTGATGGCCTCTGTTGACAGTTTAATGCTGCCAACAACAGGTTGACACAACAGAAGGAGTAGGGCTCATTGAATGTGGTAGTTATAAATAAACACGTACACACGTAGGAGTTGCTGGTATTTAGGTTTGGGTGTTGGGGGCCATTAAAGTTTACGTAAAGAGGAGGCAGGCAGGTCGGACTCGAATGAGTTGTTTTTCCTCTCGTCTGGCTGCGAGTGTTTGTCTTGCTAAGAAGAGAAAGCGGTGATCCTGGTGATTAGTGTTGTGATCATTCCTCTCCTTTGTCTGCTCCCTTCCTCGCTGGGCAAACACTGAAACCTGTTAGACCAGCCTTGTTCCTTATGAGAAACAAACAGTCAAATGTCAAACACAACACCACCTTCACTTGTCTGCCTTTAGATTAAAGTACACTGTGTAATGTGAGATAAACGCTGTTTGCACAGCGGATACTTGAACCATATTTGACCCATTTCTATGAAGTCATTAAATGCTTGTGAATTAATGAGTTAAATAATCCAAAATAAAGATACTTTAAGATATATTTAATACGTCCAGACTTGATATCGACTATCCTACTTTTCTACTTTTGCTGGGTAAAAAGTCTTAAATACTCTTCTAATAAAATCCATGTTAATTTTCTTTTCTCCTTCTGCTCTGTTTCATAACGCAGTGCCAGCAGTCAGTGTCATCAGAAGTGAAATGCCTCGGCAGAAGCTCCTTCACGCTATGTGTCGACAGTCCCCTTGTCATCCGACAGGCCCTCCACCCAGAAGCTTCCAAAAAGGTAATGGTTACAAGTTAATTTTTAGACATGTGTTGCAATTAAAACAATAAGCTTCAAGTCTATGATTTCTTTCCCTCGTGAAAGTGTGCAATGAACTGTATTAAAAAGTATTGAATTTCTTTTGAATTATTTCCTGCTTTTTTTCCCTCATGGTTGTAACCCTGACCCAAGATGATGTCAGCATGTACAAACCATTTTCCTCTTAATTCTCTCTCTTTCATCTCTCTGTCCACTAGTTTCCTGGTGTGCCCATTAAGTCATACTGAACCCTTTGTTTTTCGTCTCTTCCTTTTCAGAACCTTGTCCTTCCTGAATGTTTCTTTTCGTTTGTGGATGTGAGGAAGGAGTTTCACAAATGCTGCCCCAATGCAAGCGCTGTGCAGAAGCTCACTCTCGCCTCCATGTTGGAATGTATCCTTTACTAGTGTTGACATCTTATTGATTCATTTTGAAATCAGTTTAGGTTTACTGTTGTAAAAGGACGGGGGCACAGAATCCTTACAGCATGACACATCAACAAATAGAAAGTACAAAGTCAAAATAACAGGGTGCTTTAACTGGTCAGTGTCCTTAACAGTGTGTGTAGATGTTGGTCTCCCTGCTGTGTCAGAGCAGTCGATGGGGGTGAGGGAGGTGAGCAGCATGGTGCAGCTGATACTCTGTGTCCTGGCTGAGCCTTACAGTAAGTAACAGCCACACTTTGTGACCTAAATGATCTGACATTTAACTAGATGCTGAATGCCTTCCATCTCCCATGGCACTGCTAGCAGCTGAACCTAAACAGTGAACTACCAGAGAAAACAGAAAATTTTATATGAACACCAGTCTGGTGTCATGCACTAATGATAGCAGTTATTGGTGTGTGTTAACCTATTTTGACCATTTGATGCTTTGGGGTCTATAAAATCAACATTGTGACTGCATAACTGAAGTCTTTCCATTGTACCACAACTAGAAGTAGTTTCATCACAATACAATATTATATTGATTCTCCGCACAACAAGAAGATATTTCCTAATATCGAAAAGTCTGCCATAATATGATTTTGATTCGATTCAGGGGCCTGGGATCGATATTAGATAATATCATATGCCCATTATACACAGTGGGTTACAGAAGAAGCTGCCATCCCCCTTTCTTTTTTTTTTTGCTTTTGGCAATAAAAGATAAAAACAACACATAAATAATTGTACATAGTTGTAACCGGTTAAGTGCTCCAATAACATGCAGAAAACACGGCTTAACAAAAAGAACATTTAACAAAAGTATAAAATTCAGCTCAGTATTAACTGTCAAGGTTCATCGACTTTGCTAGTGACCATAATTAGCTGAAGCACTTTTACATTGCATAAATTAGCCGAGTGGCTAGCTGACTTTACCTTTAGTCATAGCTTAACAAATTAACAAATTACATTTATCATTTATGCCACAGTTGGTTAAAGTCACTGTGTCTCCCTACAGACAGCACAGTTGAATTTCAGCTTGCACGCACGTCAGCCTAAAATTGTTGGAACAGAGCAGCGAAAGCAACAAGTTAGCGGACTGGTTTGCCGTGTTTCCTTATTATTCCACCTCGTAATGGCATTGTATGCATATTAAGGGTGGGCGATATGGCCCTAAAATAATATCATAATATTTCAGGGTATTTTTGTGATAACGATATTCTTAATATTCTTGACGATATGACAAATTGGTAAAAAAAAAAAAAAAAATCATAATTAATTTAAGAAAATAAAATTGCAACAAAATAAGTGTTAGGTTGACATGGAAACTAACAGTTTCACTTTGAATATTCAGTAAGAACTAAAGAAAAATTATCTCATTTCTTTAAACAACAACAGTTAGTCAGAGTGAGACTCAGATTCTGAATACAATATTGACAAAAAATGTACCCT